CTCACCGCGTAGAGTGCAAAGGCGATGGAGAAGGCACCGACCACCATCGTGGTCATGCGCCTGCGTGACGGCTTGCGCAGCTCGGTGTCGAGCGGCAGCGCCGAGAAGCTGCAGATGAAGATGCAGACGAAGACGGGCAGCGCGGAGATGACGTCAGCGGCGGCGGGCGGCGCGGGGGCGCCAGTCACGACAACCGCCGATTGGTTGCTGGTCAGGCTCTCGGGGGGCGCGGGGCAGGAGAGGCCCTCGTAGGCGAGCACGCCGACGAGGCCGACCACACTCGTGACGGAGAGGAGCGACACGTGCCGCAGCGAGTTGAGGGTCGTCATGAAGGTGAGAGGCACCACCGCAAGGACGAGGCACGAGCCGAGCAGGACCTGCTCCGACCGCGCCATCGGCCGGCCCAGCACAAACTGGGAGGCGAGCGGCGCCGCCAGCTGGCGGAGGAGGAGCGAGTTGGCGACGAGCGTGAGGAAACACGTGATGACGACCGACCACACGGTCAGCGCCCGCGCCCAAGGCCCAAGTGCCGCCTCGAGCACCTCGTCGAACGTGCGCAGCCCGCCGGCGCGGCGTGCTCCGCCGAGAAGGAAGTGCACGCCCATCCCGCTCAGCGTCGCGGACGCGGTCAGGATCGCGAGGCCGAGTGCGAGGCCGCTCTTGGCCATCGCCCACGGTATGGAGAGCGAGCCGCCGCCGCAGATGATGGAGACGAGCGCAAGGATGCCGTGGCTCACCTCGCCGCGGCGGTGAGCACTGTGGTAGCCGCCGACGAAGACGTCTTGCTGGGAGAGGGCAACTCGCATGGCGAGCGAGGAGGTGGCAGTAGCGGCGGAGGCAGAGGGGAGTCACTCGCTGAGCGGGAAGATAGCGGGAAGCTCCGGCCTTGTCGACGTGATAGGAGTTCACACTCACACCTTTGGCACAGCAATCTACCCTACCCTATATGTAGCTCCCCGGTGTGTGTGTGTGTGTGTGTGTGTGTGTGTGTGTGTGTGTGTGTGTGTGTGTGTGTGTGTGTGTGTGTGTGTGTGTGTGTGTGTGTGTGTGTGCATGCACACACACACACAATACTCACACTCACACTCCCCGGCCCTGGATGTGAGGGTGTGTGTGTGCATGCACACACACAAAAAAAAACTCACTCACCCACTCACTCACTCGATGTGAGGTTACCAACCGCACTCCAAGCGCTCCGAGTTCTCCAGGAGCCTCGATGGTATCTTTCTCTCGCTACCACGACTACCTACCTGTCTACCGCGTCTGCATTTGACCACGGAGGATTTTTTGTTATACCAAAAAGAGGGCTACACACGGCCCTCTACGCTGGGGCGCCGGCGCGAACGCCGCCTTTTCCCAGTAGCCGGGACCTTCTCTTGCCTATAATCAGCCCTTCGAGTTCGCTGGCGAACTGGCGAACTGGTTCGTGAACTGGTTCGGTGAACTCGCGGTTCGTTCGGTTTCGGAGTTCGCTCTGGACGGCATCCCCTTGGTTCGCTGCATCGGTTCGGTCGTTCGCCCTTGGGTGCCCGAACCCTCGAACTAGTTCGTGAACTCGAGCCTTTTCTTTTCTCCTCCCCCCCCCCGACCCGCTTCACACCCGCAGGCCGAGGAAACCAGGGAAGTTCGTCTGAACTGCGAACGAACCGCGAACGAACCGCAATATGTATTTTTTGGCTCTGCAGGCCTGTATAGTCCCTGGTTGCCTACTAGAGGCCTAGTATGCCTGGACGCCTCGGGGAGCCCCCGTCTCCCCCATTCTATTCGCCAGTCAGCACGCACGGCGCCCAGGCACCACAGGGCGGCCCTGCTCACAGCGCAGCCGGCACCATCGGGACCCTAGTCCTCGGAGCGGTCCAGCTGCGGGAACCGCTCTGGGGTGGGCGGGTCGATGCCGACCTTGAGCAGGTAGCGGCCGGAGCCGCCGTGGGCCGAATGGTCCGCGGCGGGCGGCGGCGCACCGGGGTAGTCGCGCCCGTAGTCCGCTAGATTGCAGACTGTCGCGGACCGTCAGAACTGTGCTAGTGCCGCCTGTGTATATGGGCACCTGAGATTGAGGGCCAGACCGCGTCCGCACGCGCGCACGTGGCGCAGTTGCGCGAGTTCGTTCAGCGCGGCTCGTGGATGCTGCGAACGAACGAATTCCTGGCGATGATTTTCTTTTTTTCCTAGTTCGAACGGAGTTCACGAACGTTCGTTCGTTTTCGCAGTTCGCGCCTTCCACAGCCGGCGCGGTCCGTTCAGTTTCGAGGTTCGGGCTGGGCCCCGCCGGCTGCGTTCGTTCGAGTTCGGAGTTCGCGAAATCCGCGCGAACTCGAAGGGCTGCTAGGTAATGTACTTGAGTTGTAAAGAAAAGAACGAAAAACAAGATGGAACGGGGAGGTGCGTCGCTTCTTTATTCCTGTGTCGAGCCTGTCGCTGTGAGAGAGACCTCGCCGATTAAATTCTTTATTCCGCGAACTCGGCCGTCCCTATTGTCCGGACCTTTTACGATGCCGATCGTGCTCGCGTTGCCCGCTGTCTTCTTCGTCGGGAGTGCGGTCGGCGCTGGTTTCGGCTCGGCGCTCGGCGTCGCCACGGGCGCGGCAGTGCTGCGCCGTCAGGGCCTCTTCTCGCCAGGATCAGTGCCCCCATCGCAGCACCGCACAAAGGAGGCGGCGCTCGTGATGGCGTGAAGCAAGGGCTCACCAAAAAATGGGCGTGGGAATGCACACACCAGCTGTAAGCATGTTGCTCGCAGCGGCGGGGCCGCAGGTGCAGGAAGAGTGAGAGGAGTGTGCGCGCCGCCAGCGCCACACCGCACACGCACATCCGTGCCACATATACACAATTCACACACGAGAAAACAAAAGGCTTTGTCCACGTTTAAACTTTATGAAAGGCCCTCGGCCTCGCGTTTTCCTCTCTCTTCCTCTTCCACTCACAGTAACTTGTTGATGAAAAATATCGCCCGATACGCTCCCCCGAGCTGCGGTGCTGCGCCCTCCTCTCCCCCCTCACCCCAGCATCCCGGGCCACGAGCCTGATCGATTGGACCGCCGTCGTGAGCGCTCAAGCTCGGCGATGCGGTCCGCCTGCTGCTGGATGAGAGCCTTCGCGTCGGCCAGCTGCA